TGTTTTTTTTAAAGGGATGCACACAATTAGGAGCAAGGAAGGAAGAAAAGGCTCAGGATTGTCTCCTTCTCCCCATACAAAGTTTGAGTGCCAGCACAAAACAAGCTCAGTAGGCCCCTGGGGGCCCTGCTTGAGACTAAGCAGTGCCTCACATAGTCAGAATCACTGATGCTCATTGACAACAAGAAATTATGAAAACAACTGTAATAAAGAATGAACCTTTAAAAATGTAGGCATATGTTTCCAAGGACTAAGGTTGCATTGTTGTACAGTGAATGTTGATATGATATACTCGAGCAGCATGAAAGCACACCTCAAAAAGTTAGCAAGCCAAAAAATAAAAATAAAAAATCCATGCGTCTTCAAAAGGTGAAACTTACATATTCATAAATTATCTTCTGAAGAGATTATTTTATTATAGGTAGTAACCCCAAATTTAATATCTCAGAAAAGTATGTTACATAAGCCCAATTCAAAAATATATTTTTAATACAAAAATGTCAGCCTACTTAGAAGTATGTCTAAGTGCTGTGTTGTAAATGTAGTCATTATTTATTCGGGACTCCTTTTGCATGAATTACTGCATCAGTCCAACATGGCAGGGAGGCAATCAGTCTGTGGCTCTGCTGAGGTGTTAAGGAAGCCACTATAATAACAGCCCTCAGTTCATCTGCACTGTTGGGTTTTGTGTTTTTCATCTTTCTATTAACAATTAACCAAAGTTTTTCAATGGGGTTCAGGTCAGGCCAGTTTGGAGGCCAATCAAGCACATATTGATGCTTTAAGCAGTGTGGATGGAAAACTAAATTATAATCTGCGTAGATCTCCGTCAGCAAAGGGAATCATAAAATGCTCCAAACTGGTTGTAGTTGAAGTGCCTTCTAACAATCTACCGTCAAGTCCACTGTTTTCCTCACGACTGTGTCAGCTTTAGCATGGCCATAGTACAAACTTTCTATATTTTTTAATTAGCCTTATGTAATACTCTACTACAAAAAAATCTTTTTTTCATTAGCTCTAAGACATATTCATTAGATCTAAGACAAATAAATGCACACTCTAAGCGTAATAAATCTAGATAATGCATGAGTTTCACTTTTTTTAATTTACTTTAATGAATTAACCTTTCAATGATATTGCAATTTATTGAGATGCTCTTGTATTTAGTGTAATTTCACAATTTTAGCATGCTTCATGAAGTAGGATACGCCAGACATCGTAAAAAAGTCCTCTACTTTATCTCATGGATTTCTCTGTGCTGACACACCAAGGATCATTACATCCATAATTTCATATTTTGCAATACTGTCACTGGGAATATTTTCCCGGGCTTGATGTTCAGGTCTAGTGCAATTAATTATGTATATATATACTTCACTGGGGCATACTATCAAGTACAGAGCAGGATTATAATGAAGTGGGGCATACATACTAGAAACCTCGTGAATATGCTTCACCTTAGATAAACCTGTATAGTAATGTAGAAAATCAACCGTAATTGGAAAAACCACAGAAAGATTACTGTGAAGCCAGTTCTTTTCTTGGCATGTGTGCCACAGTAATAAGCCTGAGAATTGTTACACATTTGATGCTTGGCTGACTTCGCAGCTATTGTCTTTATCTGCTGTTGGAAAAGGAAGGTGTAGGGGAAGAATCACCACATCTTTGTGGTATGTTTAAATCATAGTCTCCTCCTATTGCACAGAAGATTTCCACCTAAACATGTGAGCCGAGATGGCGTCCTTCAAGCCCCGCTGGCTTTCTTGTCATTGGAAATGGGAGTGGGAGATTAGGCAGGGTGTAGGGGGAGGGAAATGTAGAAGATTGAGCAAGAGAAGGGGGGTAAATACTAAATTCTTGTTTAATCCCATCTCAAGCAGCTAGATATACTCCTTGTAAGATTTTTCTATCCAGAGCTGAGGTGACTGAAAGGAATGAGATGAAAATGAATGAGAATCAGCTTTAAACATGTATTAGCTGTAGAGTGCGCTACTTCAGAAATTATTTTATACAGGTCCATTAATGGAAATCAAGTCTGCCATATTGTTAATACATTTAAATTACTGGGATCCCAGAACAGTTTTATGGCAAATTAGGCCACACAGTCAATGTATTGTTATTAGTTTATACCACTAATGGTACGTTTTGCTGGAAATGATTTTTTTAGGTGACTACTGATGTGAAGTGCTGCTTTTCTTCCATAAGAAACACATCAAAGTGGCAATTTTGCACAGCTCATTGCATTTAATAGAGTGCAATAAAAAATGTCCTTTCTTGTGTAATTAATGAGGAGATTACAGAAGCAAAAAATAAAATATTTCTGGAGGGTATGTATCATACGTGTTGCAGTTTTGTAAAATGTTGAGATTCAATTCTCTGCAATTTTTTCAAACATTAGTAGCACAAACGTTAGAAAACCCCAAGTAAGAAGTTAATTGTAACATTATCGTTATTAATTTGATGTAATGTCATTTCAGATTTTTAGGCTAAACTTGCATTTTAAAAATGTATTCCTAAGCTACCTCACAACTCCGAATAATTAATGCTGTTTATTCTTCTAATAACCTCTCACAGACAACTAAATCAATCAGTAGACCTTTAAATGCACCTACCCTCTCTCACACTCTTGTTTTTAATTTTTTTCCTCTCATTGTTTTCTTATTTTCTAATAAAATTCAACATTGCACAAAGCCCTTGGATTAATGTGCAAAAATAAATGAATAAAAAGATGCATTCAGAGTGACTGCTGATGCGAGAGGAAAGAGGATTCTCACAACCCACTGCCCCTGCTATAAGAACATGCCTTATCAACATTTTTTCCGTGTAAAATGTCAACGTCGTGCTAATTATTTTATCAACAAGGCTATGTGTGCATTTGCTTTAAGTTGCATGATCTTTCTGCCTTGTTATAAATATGTAGAAAAGCTCTCCAGCTTCTCCTTTCTTTGCAGTTCTTGTGCCTGACCTATAGCATTTGTTGTGAGGAAATAGTGAATCTGATACAACATAAGATGCTATAAAAATCATTTTGCAAAACCTTACAAAACAATCTATTTGTCTACACATTTAACAACTATGCAATGCACTGACCAATGAAAAATAAAACCCTGTTCAGTAATTTAAAAAAAAAAAAAAGAAAAAGAAAACCTGCAAATCTTTCAAGAAAACATTTCTCATTCAGCACATTAAAGCAGTCCACAAGGGAAATCTCTTATGTTCCATCTTTGTTTCGGGTATTTTCTAAGCAGGTGGAATGAAGCCCAGAAAGCAGCAGCATGCATAAGGTTGGTAAATGAGCATTTGCACATCTGTATAAACACATCTGTCCTTTTACGACCAGATTGCGATTTTTGTTGTTTTGAAGATCTCGTGCGCTCCCGTTTTAGTTAAGTCATAAATCATATGCATCAAATAGGTTTCATACACAGTAGGTTTAAAAATTGCTTGGCCATTAAGCCATGACGGGGGCAGAGAAGTGTTTGAAGAAGACACGCATCACAGCTGGTCTTTTTCCTCAGGAAAGGTCTGCTTATATCGCTACATCTCAAGGTGTGGGCAGCTGAATTATGCTACAAAACTTCAAGACGCGTTTGGTGTTTGTACGTGTTCTGGCTTGAAGCCTGTGTTCACTGTGTGTTTGAGTGTTCTTGTATTCTCCAGGCTATCACATTTTACTGTCAGTTATTAGGTGTTGCAGACAGAGGGAGGTCATGGGGCAGCTTGCAGAATTATGTCCTGGTCACAGAAGCAATTCATGAAACCTGTCCCTTATGACAGCACAATTTCTCCTAGTTCCTGATGCACAAAGGCAAAAGCCATTACAGATAAGCAAGAAAAAAACATTGAGAAGCAACTTCCAAATAAGCTAATTCAGATGTTTCAGTCACTTAATATAATATTAAACAGCTAGGCATGCAGACTGCTTCTGCAAACAATTAAATATTGGGTCACTGTCAGCAGTTCGCTGAATACAAGCACGACAATCGGGAGCCCACTGTGCATTAAGTCTAATCGTAAAATGCTCTCTGCATACAATAACTGATACACATCGACTTAGCAACAAAGTAAAAGCAACAGGGAACAATAACATTTTAACCTCAGAGTGGTAACCCAACTAAAATCGCAGACAGCACATGTAGAGACACATGGTGTGGAAAAATCACCAACTATTCGAATAGTTAATAGCAATAGTTCTAGTGTGGGCATGACATTTGCTCACGAATGGCTAAGCAGCTGCATCCTAACCTTACATAAACTGGTGCAATAAAATCCAGAGAATGAAAACTGCTGTATGTGTAGCATGCAGAGCCATTTAAAAAAAATGTCATTCCAACTGCATAGGAACAGTTTGTGAATTTTAGTTCCATCATGATTGCACTCCAATGCACAAACCAAGGTTGATACGAACATGTGTGAGCGAATTTGGTTTGGAGGAACTTGACTGGCCAAAACAAAGCCCTGACCTCAATCTGAGGGCGCACCATTAAGGTGAAGTACAAGGTGACTGCAACCCAGGGCTTTTTGTCCAAAACCAAAAATTCAAATCACAAATATTCTTTAAAAAGAAAGACCTAAGTGTGATGGCCTGTCTTGCCAGGAGAGCTGAAGCAGCTTAAGTTGCAAAGTCTGAGCCCCTCAGTGTATGCAATGAAGTTATAGGATGCCTGTAAAGTTCTTATGTGTGGCAAGGCAAGTGTATAAATATTATCAGCAACATAATGTATATTTTATTATTTGCATGCCAGTGACACATTGTTAAGAACATTGTGACAAGCTTAATTTCCAGGTCAATCAAAAAAAAAAAAAAATTAACAGAATCCACATGTAAACACTGTCATAATCAGATGTGGTTTAATCTGATGTGATTGACCACAACTAAATAGTGAGCCTTGATTTTGGATCCTGACCAGACCACGGATATATGTAGCAACATTTACTTCCAGCAGAAAAAGAAAAAGTCATGTTGCATCTTGAAGCATCTGAATGAATAATACTCTGACTTACAATGTGGAGCTTCAAGAAGTCTCCGAGTCCAGAGGAGCTATCCACCCTCACCAGGACAGCATCCTTCAGGTGTGTGCTGAACCCAATGGCGAGTCGGTCCGCCCTTGTGCTGGGTCGGTCGTTTGGCGGCCATGTGTAGGTGATCAGTCCACCGTCTCGGCCAAATATGTACGTTGTTCCCGCTGCGAGATAAAAGACGGAGGGGGAAAAAGAAGCAAACATTTTAATAACTGAAACAACGACTGCACACCCAGCGGGCTCCGCCGGCTGTCAACACGGAACCATTATTAACACAGCAAAGCCGGCCTCAGCTCCGTGTGCACGGAGAACCGTCAGTCTGAGCGTTTTATTGTGCTGAGTAATGACTTTGCAGAGCACCGAGCAACATATCACTCTTGAACCGCACTCAGCTCCATCTGAGAGTTTAAGTACACTCATGTCAATTCATGAGTAGAAGAAAATCCAGCTAAAAATGTGTGAAACGCAGGTAGAGGTGCCGCTTACCTCATAATGCCAGGCAATTACTCAGCTTTACAGCCGCTGCCTGTTTCACCTCTGCACTGATGAGACACGAGCAAGCACTTGCAAATTTTTAGTTGTGTCCCAGGTGTCTGGGAGACCAGCATACCAAATGGGCACCTCCTCATCTCTTGTGCTTCATTAGCGATCTCAAAGAACACAGCGGCGTTATTGACTGAGAGGGCCAATTATGCCCTGCTTGTATCCTCCACACCAGCTATTTCCTGTCTCGCTGAATCATGTCAATGTCCTAAGCTCCTCTATGAAAGGTTAAAGCATGACCTGGTAGAAGGGAGAGTGGTTCTAATAACCCAGCTATTAAGTGAGAAAGCACTTCTTCAGAGTGAGACAGTGACCCCAGTCAAGACGATGCCAAAAAACACCCAGCCAAATTCGTCTTTTACAGCGGTGTCATGTTTCATGTTTAAGGATCATGACTGTGTTTTACTCCATTTTTGCTTCGTGGCTGTGTCTGTGTGTGCACAACTGCGAACGAAGGGATGTGAGATTGGGAAATGAACGCCTGTGAGAAAGGCTGGAAATGAACCCAGCTGTCAGATTAGCATAAAAACAGCTATCTTCATGAAAAATTAGACAAGGAGTTGTGCTGGTGTGCTGTATGTCTACATGTGCGTTAGAGCCAGAGACGGAGAGAAAAACTGTGAGAGTAAAACTGTGTTAATATTCACAGAGGCAAGGAGTTAAACAGCCTTTGCTGGAACAATAGATTATAAATCATCTTGACTGTAATTTCAATATTGTAAACTGATTCACAAGGATATAAAATTATCAATACAATTTATTTATTTGCTTCTGCATCTTTTTCTAAGAGTTTCCACAGTGCACCACTCTGCTTTGGAGCTTCTTTTCATTTCCACTCCATTATTTCTCTTATTTGATTAAACAGACACTCTTGCCCATAAGATACAAAGAACGGCATCATCGAATAGCATTAATGTGATCATGAAATGAAGTTGAGACGTTCAGATCTATGACAGGATTTTGTGTTTTTCATAAAGCATAACTCAAATTTCTAAAACCCTAATGATGATAATACTGTAAGCACTTTTGTTCTCCTAATGGCTATGGCTCTGAGGAGCTTGATGACATCAACAGAGGAAAAAGACATTATGCTTGATATATTTGCAAGACAGGCATCATTTCTTTTTCATGAAGTCTGGCGGCTACAGCAGAAAACTCTTCTTGTTTCACTAATGCAGATCTGATGTTGGACCCATCCCAGAGCGATCTCCAATTCATCCAGCCAGCGCTGGACTGTTGTCACTATCTCTTAAATTTCCCCCAAGCCGTCTAACACTTGCTCCGTGCTCCAGCTCATTATAATTAAGTGCTTTTGGACTATGTCAGCGTTGGAAATCACTGCACCCTTAAGCGTCTATTTCCTGCTCAGTCTATTCATAAGCTTTGACACCCACTTTATCCTACTGACATCCTATTTACTGTTAGTAGACACTGTAAAGTAGTGATTACCCCTTTCAATGGACCTTAGTAGAGATCATTATGGTAAATGGGTTAATTGCAAGATGCTCATGTCAAGGCCCAGCAGGTCAACAGGACTGAAGCTAACTACTAAACGTTTCCAAAACTGGTTCACTGAGTGCAAATAATAGGGCTGCCAATATGTGGTAAAACTGCACAAAATCCAGGAAAGCCTAAGACTAATAGAGAGTGGTGGGGATTAAGCTACATGGAGAAACATCGCTAATGCACACCTACACATACGTGCAGTGGCATGAAATCACCGCATTCTCCTGTGACTCCACCGCTGCAGAGTAATTACACTCTGGCTGCATTTTTGTTATTTGCATCGTCTCCTGGGACGCTTGGCCTGATATGGATCTGTTGTAGTCATTAGATACAGAAGCATCCTGGAAATTCTTGCCTGTTTATTTTCCACTATGATTTAAAGGGAGTTTCAGTTTATTCCCTATTCGCCACCTGTCTAATTATGAAAAATTAGACAGGTAAATAATAATTAGCAAAACAAAAAGCTACAGACAACAGTAAATAATATAAAATAGTGTAATTTGACAAAACTATCTCCACAATGCATGATCTATGAAATTGAATTTTTTAAAATTTTCTGAAATATTTTACATTCATAAAAATGCCTTGCAAAATTGCTAATGCGTTGTATTTAACGTCTTTATTAAATAAATTTATTTGATTGTTTTAAACAAGTAATGCACGATTTTAAAGTGAAACGGTATTGATGCATAGTTTTCAATTTTTCCCTGTGCCTTGTCCCTTTGTGGATCTCTGCAGCTGCTCCAGAGCTACATGGGCCTCATGAGGGCTGCTGGTGTGAATAATGCTCGCCTTTTCTCGCCTGTCAATTTAAGTGGACTCTTACGTCTTGGTAGGTTTGCACTTGTGGTGTAGTATTTCCGTTTTTATAAGACAGTTTGACCTGTGCTTTGTCAAAAGTTCAGATGTCACAGTATTGTTTTATTACCTAATATTGCTTTACTTCTCCACAATCTTGTCTGATCTCTGTCAGGTGGGTTTTCTTGAGCCTTGTTATGCGGTTTTTATTCACTAATGTCCTCTGATACCTTCAGAATATATACATGTAGCTGGTATTTATACTGACATTCATTAAGGAATAAACATATTGACCTTTCTTCTGACTAATTCTGTGAATTTAGACTGACATTAGTGCACCAGGCTGTACTCAAGTCTGAGATTGAATGAATACCAAATTTTCAGACATTAATTTGTAAAAATAAATGCATCATGCAACATTTACTAAACTTACAATAGTGTGTCCCTTTTTGTTGGTCTGACGGAGCAAATCTGAGTAAAACATTTGTGCACTTGTATCGAAATGTGAATCGTGAGCTCAAGGTCTGTATTTTCACAGAGAAGCTACAGGGGAGAGAAACCATGACTGAATGCATTGGAAGGTATTACCGATTTTAGATTCTGCCTTCAGGATGAACTCCTTAACCACAAGCCTCCCCTGTTAAAGGATAATGAATTAATCTGTCCTCATGTTGGACTACACTGAGATCTGGCCGCTCACTGCTGTGTCAGTTCACATCAAAGAAGACAAACATTGGCAGATCAAACACTCTGCTTTCATTAAAAATGTACCACTATCCTAGGAGTTCTCGTGCATTTGGCCTAAGAGGTGTGTGGGATATTACTTCTGCGGAGAAGCAAACACGAACTGCATGTTTGAGCGCTCTTGGTGTTTACTTTTTTATTGTTTAAATCTATTTACGGTGGAAGCAAATAGACTAGACATGATATGCATTATCTAATTAACTAGGTGTGAGAAACAAACATGCAGAATCTATGCCATAATGCAGCTATGGGCGTAGGAGAATACAAAACGAGTGTATTTGACAGCATCTCTCATGCCAGTGTCAGGCTTGCAGACTGTCTTTCCTCTAACCTCCAGAAAAGCCATCACAATGCGCTTCATATTACCACCTCTGCCGAGAAACTAGGGAGGAATCCAATCATAATTACATAGTTGTGATGGAAATGTGAAAAGGAGAGATGACATTATAGATCTGTTTTCTGACAGCACCTAACACTTGCGTCGTCTTTCTATCTGCTGCCACATATTCCCGTAATAACTGGCTGTGCAAAAATAGATCATCCGAGATGTGGAATATAGGATTGCGTTTTTGAAATTAATTTTTGATCATTTCCACGAGTCTCTTGAGAGAAATCTCATAGATGAAAAATTATAGATAACTGCCTTTCAAAGCCGTTTTTCAGCTGTCTCCATGGCAGGACACAGTTTTCACGTTATGATTAACATTTTGTTGGATAGCTTTACATGGAAAGAGCCTTTGTAAAACAAATTCAGAAACCAAACCCACCCATGACAACAGCACAAATATGCAAAATTAAGATGTGTTAAATTACCACAGATTCTTATTTTGCAATAAAATTTTCCGAGATTAAATGTTAACTTTGGTTATTTGTCTTGTTTTTAAATTAAACTTCAAGCTAATTTATGTCAAAATGTTGTAGCTAATTCTTAAGTGTTGTCTGTTAAAGCCAGATGATAAATCAAAAACTATGGTGAGTTTAACAGCTATACGTCAGACTGATCCTGGATGTTGTTCCAAGTGTATGTGGAGAGTTTGATTAAACAATGCAAATCTTCCATAAATCCTGTTTCATTAAGTCTGTAGGAAGTCCAAGAATGACAGTTGTGCATCCCTAAACCATGTCAAAGGGTAAAACTATTTTAAGAGTAAGATGATTTAAGATTACATTGGGCCTACTCGCCCCGGAGGGATGTATACAATTAAAAGAGGCTTAATGATATCTATTGGATTTCCATTTCAGTTTTCTGAGAAATCATTAGCACGATTTATGAGTTCACTATTGTCCTATCACACACCATCGTTATCTGGTAAAGGAGCTGTTTCCGATCAATGTTCCTTAAGATTTAGAGCCACAAGGAAAATAAAAACTAAATCATGAGCTACTGTGATTAATGATTGATTAATGATTTTTTTTCTTTTGACTACAGCATATTCCTTTTTTTATATATTTACCCTTTTTATGCCAGTAGTTGAGGTTACTACTGAATAGGAACTACAGGTTTTGGACATAAATCATAAAATATGGAGACAGCAGAGTATGTTCTTCTCAACAGCTGTATAGAATAAATAAA